GGAATATTTTTATTCCGAAATCCGTTTTTTTTTAAAACGGTACGAGAATCCCTCTTGCAGTTAGCATTCTCCAAACTGTGCGTACTCTCATCTGTGTAATTCCGAAATTTTTTGTACTTCATTTTCGGAATTCTTTTAGCAGAAAGTCATTTGTGGTCTGAAAGTTCGAAACTTTGTCTCATTGATAATTTCGCACTTCAAGGGAATAGGGGGCCCTACTGAACTTGCAAACGAGTATTTTTTTCTTTTTTTTCGAATTTTTGCGAAGTTCAAACTTTTTTTTTTTAATTAGTGGCTCCTTATCAGGGCGATTTATCCCACCCCTCCCCACCTATGTTGTTGTCCCCTCTGGTCTTTTCTCTATCTCCCTCCGGGTACCCCCTGCGGCGGCATTGGTAAGTTGCCATGTCAGCAGGCCACACGGCAGCAGTGCCACATCAGCAACCAGTCCCGGCAGCAGCAGGACACGTCAGTGCATGGTGCTCACCCGCTCAAAGACAAGCGGCATGGAGCAGCAGCCAGGCGAGACTACCGAGGCCTATGAGGCCCGCATGCTGGACATGCTAGCAGAGTACAAGCAACGGGCAGCTGCGGCAACATCCGCACGTAAGAAGGAAGATGAGGAAGCAAAGGAACAGCGTTGCCTCGCTGAACAGCAGCGACAGGTGGACGCTGAGGCAGCAGCGACGGCCGCAGACGAACGCCGTCGACTACGCCGAGACAAACTCCTCGGATGCGAGGGGGATATCGAGGTGATCGCCGGCGAATGGGCAGTGGCTGCTGAAGAGGAGGGTGCCCCCTCTGCTGTGCGTGGCCTTGCAACCACAATCGAACATGTGAGCGACTTGGTCGCCATCTGTGCAGCACAGCAAGAGGACATCCTCTGCATGAACACCCTGGTCCGGAAGCAGATTCGTGTTATTGATGAATTGCTTGACCGGGTACCTCGGCTGGAACAGCAGCTTGCATCAGCCACCCCCGCCGGACCCTCCAACTTGACGGACCGCGAAAACGTCTTGGAAATCGACGTCGAGACTCTCAAGGACGGCGCCGTAACGACAAATCAGCGGATTGACCAGCAGATTTGACGGCCTCCCAATCTTCTGTGATGCAACGAAGACGGACCCGATCCCATGGTGGTTGTAACGAGCGTGAGGCTGAGGGTGAGCCGAGGGAGAGGAGAGAGAGGTAGAGAGTGAGAGCACACACACACACACTCACTCGACACGACGGACTCGGACTGAGGATCGGACGCAGACACAGTGGCAAGGCACAAAGTCGAAGTCTTGGATTCCGAATGCCGAAAC